CGGGCGGCGGGAGCACACGCCCGCGGCCAGGACTGGCCGACCGCAGGCTGCGCGCGGAACCCCGGCCTCGGCCCGAGGCGGAGCGAAAGAGAAAGTAAGACCCGGGACCCGGCAGCCTTGCCGGGGCAGTTCCATCCCCTAGGGCCGCGGCTGTGCCAGGCGAGTGAGTGCTGGAGGGTCCGCGAGGCAGAGGGCGGTCGCAGCGAGTCGGAAGGCGGCCGGTGGGGACTCTGCTGCCTGAAGCACCGGCACCGCGGCGGCCCGCGCGGGCTGCCCGAGTCACAGCGGAGCGCCCGCCACCACGCTGGGCACCACTTGGGAATAAACTTCACGACCACGGTCCCAAGCTCAAAGAAAGTCTCCATTTTGCTCCCCAAGTGGCTGCGGCCGTCTTGCCTTCGCCACCCCTGCTCTTACGCCCGGAGAGCCGGGTGGGCGCCGGCCCGCGCCCCCTCCTCCGCCCCCTCCCCGGCTCGGGGTCTCCCTCCTCTGCGCCCGGCTGGCGGACGCCAAAGGCGGTGCTCTAGCGCCCACTATTTCAAAAGCCCGGAATATGATTTGACCAGGACTGAGAGCCACTCGGAGAGAGAGAGGGAGAGCGCGAGCGAGGAGGAAAAGTTGCTCTCCCGGTGGCTCCTCCAAGCTCTGGGTCACAAGGTCACATCTACCAGCTTGGCTGTTCCCCTGTGCGGTTTCAGACACAGCCCATGTCCCAAGTGCAAGGGCATTGTGAGCCCGAATAACCATGACCCTGCTCCCTCCCCAGCACCTGATGCCAGTCGGCCTGTGGCCGGGAGAAGGATGCTCTGTTATCAGCAGAGTGATGGTCAGGCTGCTCAGATTCAGGTAATGGAGTCCGGTCCCAGGGGACTTTCACATCTGCTTAAAATATTGTCCAATAAAATGAAATTCCTCAGCAGATCCTGAGCAGCTTGGGGCAGGCAGGGCTTTCCTGAACCTGCCTCGGCCACCTTTGGGGGAAGGATGGGGCAGTGATTCCAGCAGTGGAGCCAGGAGGAGTCCCACAACGGGTTCCAGCTGGGCTCCTTGGGACCGGGCAATCAGCTCACCTGTGCTGACTCTCACTCTGGGTGCCCCAGTAGAGAAGCAGCCTCCATGCTGGGCTGCCATCAGATAACTTCTCTGATTCTCTGGCCTCCCCGCCAGGCCGCAGATAAGCTGCCAGGCACCCTCTCTGGGTCCTGAGCAGAACCGGGGTCCAGGCAACCTTACCCACCTGGCTGGGGTGGAGCCGACTGAGGGCTGAGGCCAGGCAGGCCCCTGGCCTGGTGTGGGCCTCTGGGAAGTTTCCCGGGGCAGCGCAGGGGTGCGCTAAACCAGCCTCTCGCTTCCAGCGAAGGCCAGGCCAGCCCAGCGGCTTTACTCTTTCTTGCTCCTGCTTTGGGCCCTTCCTCTGTGAGGGCCTGACCAGCGCAGTCTGCAGCCAGGGTCCAGACTTGCAGAAAGCCCGCTGGGATACACAGACCCAAACGGGTACACAACACACACGCTCCACACGCCGAGGAGAGGCACGCAGCGCGCACACAGCTCCTTCATGTCCGCTGCAAAACGTCTGTCTGGCCTTGTTCGCACCAAGAGGGGTCAGAGGTCATGGAAGGCCCGGCAGGCCGAGGCCAAGGGCAGCCCGCAGAAGAGCCCAGGGGGGAAGGGGGCGCCTCGGGAGGAGCCGCGATCGACCAACAGCGGAGCCCGGGGAGCTGCTTTTCCCTGAAGGCTGGGCGCGCGGCCTACGGCTGCGGGGCCGCTGTGGGGCCGAGCTCGGTCGGGTCCCGAGCCGCAAGAACAGAGCTTTTCCTGAAAACTGCTGCGAGTCCCCTGCCCACTGGGCTCACGCTTGAGGGCTTGGCCCTGGGTGCTGCGAAGCCGGCCGGCAGGATAGGGCCCGGGAGACACGGACGGACGGAGCAGCCTGGTGATCGAGCGGGAATCTCGAGCCGAGCGGGCTGGGGCGTCCCTTCTGCGAGTCGGCGGCCAGCGGAGGAGGGGGCGGCACGAGCAGGCGGCGCGGGGTTCTGCTCCGCGCGGCGCTCGCCGCTTCGCT